ACTGCACTGACGGCACCACTATGATGGGTGTACTCCGCTACTGCACTGACGGCACCACTATGATGGGTGTACTCCGCTACTGCACTGACGGCACCACTATGATGGGTGTACTCCGCTACTGCACTGACGGCACCACTATGATGGGTGCACTCCGCTACTGCACTGACGGCACCACTATGATGGGTGCACTCCGCTACTGCACTGACGGCACCACTATGATCGCTGCTACATTAAGAGGGATTATGGGAGTTGTAGTTTCACCATAGCTGGAGGGCCGAGGTTACCTTCCCCTCACCTATTGGGCTGGCTGGTTGTCCTGTATTGTGGGACTTGTAGTTCCTCATTGTGGGGATATTTGAGGCATTGTCAGGTCTCTGGAACTCGTTGCCGCGGTCTCCTCCTCTTGGACGGTCATGTGATCCTGGTTGCTATGTGGTTGCCGTGGAATGTTTTCTCCTCTGTGGTGGATCGTTCTGTTCTGATACAATCACCGGATCAAAGATGGCGGAGAGAGGGTGATGGGGTAACATGCACTTTAACACACGCTGACGGGACTTTCTCACAGCTGGAGCAGACACAATCTGAAGCAGTTGTCATGGCAACCAATCAGCTTCTCTCCTTCATATTCAAAGTATAACTGAACAAACTGGTGAGAGAAGCTGACTGGTTGCCGTGACAACTGCTCCAGATTCAGTCTGCTCCAGTTGTGATAACCCCCCCCCCCCCCCCATCTGAAGGCTGATGGTGTCCTAGCAACCAGTGACTCTGCAGGCTGATGGTGTCCTAGCAACCAGTAACACTGCAGGCTGATGGTGTCCTAGCAACCAGTGACGCTGTTTATCATCAGGATCCTCGCAACCAAAGACGCCGCCGACTGACTGTTTCCTTGCAACCAGTGCTGTGGGCCGTCAGCATCCTAGCAGCCAATGATGCTATGGGCTGACAATCCTAGCAACCAGTGACACTGCAGGCTGATGGTGTCCTAGCAACCAGTGACTCTGAAGGCTGATGGTGTCCTAGCAACCAGTGACTCTGCAGGCTGATGGTGTCCTAGCAACCAGTAACACTGCAGGCTGATGGTGTCCTAGCAACCAGTAACACTGTGGTTCATCAGGATCCTCGCAACCAAAGGCGCCGCCTACTGACCGTTTCCTAGCAACCAGTGATGCTGTGGGCCGTCGGCATCCTAGCAGGCTGAGGAGTTTTCTTTGGGGGAGGAGGGGGGGGGTGGATTGTGTCTGCTGTCGCTTCATTTACAAATGAGACAATTTCACAGAATAGGTCCAATCAGTGAAGAGGAACTCCAGGCAGATGTGAATGGGGAGGGGGCGGAGCCACTTAATTTTTTTATTGCTCTGTGTTCCTAATAGAGAGATTTCACCTAATTTCCTGTCTTGGTGACTACCGTCTGCGACCCCGAGGTCAGTGCCAACCTGGCATTTCACTCTTGTGATATGGCAGCAGTGTCCTAGAACATGGCAGCAGTCT